GGGGTGCGGTGGTGCACTATCTTGACGACTTCCTCTGTGTCGGCCCGCAGGGAACGGGCCGGTGTAGACAGGTGTTGGAAGTGTTTCACTGGGTTGCACACTCTTTCGGGGTTCCCTTGGCGGGAGACAAGACGGTTGGGCCCACAACGTGCCTTAGTTTTTTGGGGTTGGAAATCGATTCCGTGAGAGGCGAATGTCGGTTACCTTCAGACAAACTAGTGGATCTGAGGGAGCGGGTGGCCACGGTAGGGAGGGCTAAGAAGGTGACGCTGCGGGGGCTTCAATCATTGGTGGGGAGCCTGAACTTCGCGTGCCGGGTGATACCAATGGGGAGGGTTTTCTGCAGGCGACTGGCACGTGCGACAAGTGGGGTGCGTTGGCCATCGCACTACGTTAGGGTCTCAGCGGATATGAAGGCGGACTTAAGGGTGTGGGACCAGTTCCTACAGGATTTTAATGGTAAGGTGTTCTTTAGGGACCCGGCGGCGGCAACAGAGGTGGGGCTGTACACTGATGCTTCGGGCAGTGTCGGTTTTGGGGCTTATCTTGCGGGTAATTGGTGCGCTGAGGAGTGGCCTGCAGCGTGGAAAGAAAGCCCGCTAATAAGGAATTTGGCGTTTTTGGAATTATTTCCGGTCGTGGTTGCGATGGGCTTATGGGGGCCGGCGTTGGCAAACAGGCACATCGTGTTCCACTCGGATAACATGTCTGTGGTGCAGGCGATAAACAGTTTGTCTGCGTCTTCCCCCCCGGTCTTGTGTTTGTTGCGGCGGTTTGTACTTCTTTGCATGTCCTTCAATGTGGTGTTTAGGGCTAAGCACATCCCTGGTATGTTGAATGTGGTGGCTGATGCGCTTTCTCGTTTTCAGTGGGAACGATTCCGGGAAGCGGCGCCAGACGCCCAGGAGATGGGGCAAGCATGCCCGGACGAGATGTGGCGGCTCGGGACGTCATGCTTGGGGAGTACATAAGGAACTCATTGGCGCCAAGCACGTGGTCGTCGTATGTTAAGGTTTGGAAGGAATGGGAGGAGACAGTTCAACAGGTAGGAGGCGTTTTTTCGGAGGGGCAGCGGGGGGACGTGCTGCTATGGTTGCTGTGTCGCCTGTTCTCAAGACAGGCTTCGCCGGCCATGGTGGACAGGTATATGTCTGCCCTGGCCTTTTTATTTAAGTTCAATGGTTGGGAGGACATTACTAAGAATTTCATGATACGTCAGGCGATTCGAGGTTTTCGGAAGGGTAAGAAGTTTGGGGACACGAGAAGACCGGTGTCGTTCTCGGTGTTGCAAGGGTTGTTAGGAGCGTTGGCTGGGTTGTGTCATTCCCCTTTTGAGGTGGCGCTATTTTCGGGAGCGTTTGTATGGGCGTTCTTCGGAGCCTTCCGGATTGGCGAGCTGGTGAGCCCCAACAGGAAAGGGGCCGGCGGATTGCTGCTCGACGACGTGGACTTATGTAACGACAGGGTGCGGATCAGGTTGCGCCGCTCTAAAACAGACGTGTTTGGTAAAGGGTGCTCTGTGGTGTTGTACGAGTTACCGGGTTCAAGGGCGTGCCCGGTGGCTTGCGGGGCGCGGTACTTGGATGTCCGTCCCGGGCTGGCTGGTAGTTTTTTCCTGCATGCAGATGGGACGGCGCTGTCCCGCTTCCAATTTCTGCGGGTTTTTCGAGCGGGTTTACAGAGGCTGGGCTTGGAGCCCAAGCAATTTGGGACGCACTCGTTCCGCATAGGCGCAGCGACGGAGGCAGCACGCCTTGGTTTGGGGGACGAGCGGATTAAGCGGATCGGGAGGTGGGAATCCATGCGGTTCCGCACGTATGTGAGGCCTGACAGGCTGGTGTAAGTAAGCGTTGGGTAGGAAATTGAGAAAGGGGGGGGGGCATTTGTCTCCTCGCAACTAATTTTATTTCCTTTCAGGTTTGAAAGTTTGGTTGATGGGACACTCGTATGTGTACTGGGCGCAGAAGAGAGCCGCAGTTCGAAGATGCGGAACGCAGCTGGGTTTTCCTCTGGAACGAGTGGAATTATCATGGCTTGGTTTGAGGGGCGCTAGCTGGCAGGGTCTCTGCAGCGCGTTATTTAAAAAGTTGTCGGGGGGGGCGGTCCCAGACGTGGTACTGGTCCACGGAGGTGGGAACGACCTGGGCTTGCTTCCTCAAAGGTTACTGGTTCGAAAAATGAAGAGGGATATGGATCGGCTGAGGGAGCTGGTTCCTGGCGTGGTCGTAGTTTGGTCTGAGATGGTGCCTCGCTTTACGTGGAAACACGCCAGGGATCCAGCTGCAATAGCTCGATCTAGGGGTAAGGTCAACAAAATTATGTCAGTCTTTATTAGACGGTCCGGGGGCGTGGTGGTGAGGCATAGGGAATTAGAGGGTATGCTGCCGGGATATTTTAGGAGGGATGGTATTCACCTATCGGATGTGGGGAATGATTTGCTGAACCTAGGTTTTCAGGATGGTATAGCACAGGCCCTGTTTAGATATGGTGGGGGTCGCACATTAGCTTAAGGGGGTCAAGCCATGTGCTGTGGCGGAACAGGGCGGTGTATATATTGGAACTTGCGTGGAATTTGAAATGGACAGGCCGAGGTTTAGGCCGGATGGAGTTAAGGATTGGTTGGTTCTAGCTCTTTGGTGGCTACGAACCTGGGGGTGTAGGGGTGTCCGAGGTATACCCCTACAGTTAACTGGACGATATGGGGCCTCTTTGGTAGGCCGTGTGTTTCAAGTTATGTTATTTGTTGTTATTTATTGTTTAATTGCTAGGGTCATTGTCAGGGGTACTGTGTGGGGGGTATAGTAACATAATGTCTAGTAGGACAATGACCCTAGATTATGTTAATTTATTATAATTAATTAATAAAGCTGTGGACTTTATACTCCAACAGAATTATCGGTGTCAGTGTTTTATTTAAGCGTAAGGGGTAGCACATGCCGAATAACGACTGTGCAAATGTCAGGTAGCCCATGGAGCAACGCAGTATGGGGAGTGGGCCTTGACAGAGCCAGGGAGTGGGCATGGGCTTAAGTTTGTGGGAAGGGTTTTGGGAGTGATGTTTTGGGGGGTGGAGAGTAGGGATATATAGAGCGGCCATATTAGAATAGGGGCCATTTTAACTGGAGCCTCTCTTACCTGTAGATTGTCCCACCCACCCTCCCTAGTTCGCAGTTCCGCTTGGTCACAGCGGCGGAACAGGGCGGTGTATATATTGGAACTTGCGTGGAATTGGAAATGGACAGGCCGAGGTTTAGGCCGGATGGAGTTAAGGATTGGTTGGTTCTAGCTCTTTGGTGGCTACGAACCTGGGGGTGTAGGGGTGTCCGAGGTATACCCCTACAGTTAACTGGACGATATGGGGCCTCTTTGGTAGGCCGTGTGTTTCAAGTTATATGTTATTTGTTGTTATTTATTGTTTAATTGCTAGGGTCATTGTCAGGGGTACTGTGTGGGGGTATAGTAACATAATGTCTAGTAGGACAATGGCCCTAGATTATGTTAATTTATTATAATTAATTAATAAAGCTGTGGACTTTATACTCCAACAGAATTATCGGTGTCAGTGTTTTATTTAAGCGTAAGGGGTAGCACATGCCGAATAACGACTGTGCAAATGTCAAGATCAGAGCACCTGGCAACTGGACAGGAAAGTCAAATTTTGGCAGGAAGTCCATTATTGCAACAGAATTTTGGAAATCAGCTAAAATTTACAAAAACAGACTCCCTCTTTTTTTCTTTCTTAAGACTACAACTCATATTGCTCTTGGACTAGTATTCAATAATAAATCAGTTATTTAATAGATTATTACGCTGCCATTTTCATCTGTATCAATACTAAGACAAACTTATTCAAATATAATTTAAAATAACACAGCAAAATACCCATTAACATACATGACAATTAAACAGCGCACTTCAAAATGAGTAACCAAAACAAACATTTATGACAATCATCATTCACACAGAATAAACTTCTAACAGCTGTATTCAGAACATATTATTGTAAGGTATACCAATTTTAGTTTGTATTGGATTTATTTAAGATTTCTGGTACCAAAGGGTTTATTTTTTATTTTTTAAAGAAGGGATCCCGTACGGCCATATAACACGTTTGACTTAAACATTTGTGTAACACTTGCATTAACCAGTTGCGACATATGAAACCTGTCAATGGAATTTCTCTCTTATACGCTTATAGAACATTTGGACCAGATTACACAGACATGGTATCACCTGCATTTGTCAGAACTCTCAAAGACTCAAAATATTTATACTACTCCATGTTAAAGGCATGGCAAAATTTTGACCGGTCAATTTGAGTTTCCAAAAGTCATATCAACACAGGTAAAAACCTTTGTCCATGGTTTTCTGATCCTACATTCCATGACCAAAATTTCAAACCCACTTCTTCACAGTTTGGGTCGCAAGCAATAAAATCTCAGCATTCCCATACAACAATTTACAGAATACATACAATTTAAAGCACATACAACATGTGACGTACTGGAATACTACAAGTTAGCTTACAGCACAATATGAAGCATGTGTTGGAACGCTGAAAATATACATTTTGCTCTCTAATTCATAATCATCTAAATTTACAACATAAGTTCTCTGCAACAAACACTCAGGGCAGAAAGAATGTGGTGTTTGACGTTTTGAATGAAGTGACTTTTTGTCCCAATATGAAAATAAAGGGCTCATCATATAAACAATCATACATCCCACTCTCATGAAAAAGTGTAGTGGGCTTATAGTACTTTTGACCAAGTATAAAAATAAGGGGCTCATTATGCAAACAAACATACATGCAGAGAAATCATGTTAGTTCTAGAATTTGTAGCCCCCCTTAAATAACCTCTAGTTTTTTTCTTAATAACCATTTTAGTCTGCAAAATTGACATCTACGTTAAATAAATATCACAGTCCACCAAAGACTGGAAATCTGTTTTACAACCTACCAAAGGCAACCTCTACCAAAGAGGGATCTAGGGACGTATCCCATATGTAAATGTACATCACAGGACATCACAGCCTACCAAAGGCTTGAAATTATTTTTAACACCTGGCCAAAGGTGAACCTCTTACCAAAGAGGAAATGTGCACAATAACTACTACTGCCTACCAAAGGCAATCCTCCAACCCGTGGAGTAATAGAAGTCTACCTAAGACTGAAAATACCATGTCTACCAAAGACACTATCCTGTGAAAATCCCCTTTAAAAATGTAAATAGTGAAAAACCCCATTAAAACAAGAAATGCAATGTGTGGGAGGATGGCAGAAGCAGGCAAAGGTCCCCAACCCCTTAAGGACACACGACAGAAATACTCCGTCATGATACCCTTAAATTCCAGAAGTTGTGTCCCCAAGGGGCTAAAGACCCTCTTACCTGCTACTCCGTTCCCAATTGCTCCCAAAAACTTCTGACACCAGTTTGTTGGGGATAAAATCAGCCTGGGCCCTTTGTGGATGATGGATATTTGCCAACTCATACAGAGCTCTGGAAATTGGAAATGAATAGCAGAGACGTGTTCAATAACCAATTCAAATTGTATTCATACGTCAGTTATATTTATACCCCATTTTCATAGCAGGATGGGAGGGGGAAAAATGAGCATATGGGCGTGACAATGACATTGTTTTTCACAAGTTATAAACATCTGTTTTTAGTTATAATTCGATGTTACATAATGTATGCATATTGGATAAAACCCAGATGATTACAAATACTGAAATCTTGGACAATTAACAAGGTCATTCCAGAATCCTTATCATGTCATGTCATGTCATGTAAATAACAAAATCATGTTCCAATAACATCTCCCGTAAATAGATAAGTCATTGTGACATGAGATACAATTCCAAATTTATTCTTGATTCAAATTAACCCTTACATGAACAGTTAGGATACAGAGCAAAATGGATATTCGCATCTACAATAGGGTTCCTCAATTTGCCAATAGGGACTACCCAACACAGTTTCACGCAACCCATACGTCAAAATCTAGAGGAGTTTCGATATTACTCCACAACTCCCTAACTGTAGAAACCCTACGGATCAAAAAAGATACCCAAGGAAGATATATCATTTTGCAATGCAGAATCAATGACCACCCATACATCATAGTATGCCTTTATAGCCCGAACGACCACCAACGAAACTTCCTACACAAAGTCCTCAACAAACTGCCAGACGACGCAAATTTCCCCAAGATCCTGTGCGGAGACTACAATCACACTATGGATACTCGTATGGACTCGACATCCCCAAGCGCCTCATCCAAACATCTCAAGTTAGGCCCTCACAATAAAGCATTCGCGAAACTTATCCATGAAAATAGTCTATACGACGTATGGAGGACAACACACCCATCAGACAGGTCCTACACCTTCTTCTCACAAGCACACAAAACGTATTCTAGAATCGACCACATACTAGCCTCGGGTACTTTGCTCCCACGCGTAGAGGACTGCACCATAGGTAGCATAGTGTGGTCGGATCATGCCCCACTGATGATGACATTAAACTCTAATTACCTGCATCGAGGCAAACCGCCATGGCGCCTCAATGACTCCCTCCTCCATGACAAGACATTCACGACTTCACTGGCGACAGAATTGGAAAACTTCTTTAAGACAAATGACAATTCGGAAGCCTCTATCTTCTCCATATGGCAGGCCCACAAAACGGTCATAAGGGGTCACCTTATCAGTCGAGCATCGTACCTTAAACGCAAGCGAGAGAAAGAGTACATGGATCTCCTACGAAAGCTGAGAGATACCACATCTGCTCATCTACTGAACCCAACGGATACACAAGAAAAAGAAATAAAGGACACCACCATTCAAATCAATGCACTGTCCTTTCAAAAAACAACCCACATTTTGACAAAACTGAAACTCAGAATGTATACCCAGGGCAACAGAGCAGGGAAACTCCTGGCTAATATGCTTAAAAAACAACAGACGAACTCTAAAATCCCTCATCTGATTACAGCCACAGGCGAAAAGATACATAACCCACAAGACATTAACGACAGTATGGCCGACTATTACCACTCCCTATACAACCTCAACACAGACCCTAACCTGCACCAACCAACCCCTAGAGAAATTAATGACTTTCTCCAAACGATGGAACTCCCAACACTTTCCACCACCCAAAAAGCCGCGATACAACACCAGATCACTGAACAAGAAATCATAGATACTATCAAATCTCTGCCACCAGGGAAATCACCAGGCCCAGACGGTATGACAAATGCTTACTACAAACAATTCGCACCAATTTTAGCACCTTACTTACAAAGGGTATACCACCAAGCCATACAAACAGGACAACTCCCAAGGGAGATGCTGACGGCCCACGTAGCCACTCTTCCTAAGCCAGGGAAACCCCCGAATAGGTGCCAAAACCTCCGCCCCATCTCCCTACTAAATACGGATATAAAAATTATAGCAAAAATCTTTTCTAATAGACTAGCGCAAATTATACCCTCCCTGATACAGGAGGACCAGGTAGGATTTGTCGGAGGCAGGCAGGGGGCAGACGGCACTAGGAAAACTCTAGACCTACTTTATGAAATACAGGAGAGCAAAAACCCTAGTGTCCTTCTATCCCTAGACGCAGAAAAGGCCTTCGATAGGCTTCACTGGCCTTTTCTGAGGGCAGTACTCCAGAAATTTGAATTCCCCCCACAGTTCTTAGCACTCGTTCAAGCACTATACTCCTCACCGTCTGCCAGGGTGGTCAATGGGGGATCCATCTCAAAACCTTTCCAAATATCCAACGGCTCTAGACAGGGCTGCCCACTCTCCCCATTACTCTATATACTAACGCTCGAACCCCTTACCCAACTAATACGAAACGACCCGAACATACACGGGATTAAGACCAATAGCCGGGAATACAAAATGTCATTATTTGCGGATGATATCCTGCTTACGCTGGAACAACCTCACATATCCCTGCCCAACTTTCACAAAATCCTATCCCACTTTAGCGCATGCTCATACTACAAACTAAACATCTCCAAAACCTTAGCCCTGGGCATCCACATCCCGAAATCAGACATGTCCAACCTCAAGACGCACTTTAAGTATGACTGGAGACATGACCATATTAAATTCCTAGGAGTCCACTTCACCCCCTCACCCAACACACTACTCAAGGCAAACTACACCAAACTACACGCGGAAATTAAAGCTCTACTGCACAGTTGGAAGGGGAAATACATATCCTGGACGGGCAGAATAGCCTCAGTGAAAATGGTGATCCTGCCAAAAATCCAATATTTATTCCGCACACTCCCACTTAAGCTCACCAAACACTACCTCATGGAACTGCAACGCAGTATAAATGAATACATATGGGACTACAAAAAACCAAGAGTGGCCTCAACCACGATGTACAAACCCCATGACCAGGGCGGAATGGGCTTGCCGGAAGTAGAGAAATACTACAGAGCCGCCCACATAGCCCCACTCATCGCAGCATCGCACCGCCAGACCCCCCTGGCCTGGGAAGAACTAGAGAAGAGCCGCGCCAGGGGAATCTCCCTCCCAGCCCTGGCATGGCTGCCGACAAGCCTCCGACCCAAAACATCAGAACTACTGCCAACCACCAAGCTAACCCTCTCTGTATGGGATAACTATCACCGAAAGAGAGGTACGACAACATCCTTCTCACCAGCAACCCCGATGGAAGCACTACGACAATTTATCCCAGACTTCAATTACAAACTCTGGCAGAGGCATGGAATAAACACACTATCGCAAATACTGCAGGGAGATCGCCTCAAGCCCCTTACAGATATCTGCACAGAATACAAACTAACCAAGACAGCGACCTTCTCCTATATTCAATTGCAATCATGGATAAAACTCAATAAATCGCAACAAACAATGGCCCCACCTGATCCACATTGGCTCAGACTGCTACAAATATGCACCAAAGTCAAGCCAGCAAAGAAACTCATCTCAAGAATTTACGCCTCTGCGAACTCAGGCACCCAAGCATCTCCGCCCTCCTTCCAAATGGCATGGGAACGAGATATAGGACACGAGCTCACGAGTGACCAATGGCGTACCATTTTCCATGCCAACAAACAACTTACTCTATGCACATCACACATGGAAACCTCCCGCAAACTATTATACAGATGGTACTTAGTCCCAACAAGACTCAAACACAGCTACCCGAATACTTCAGACAAATGTTGGAGGTGCCTAAGGGACCGAGGCACCTTAATGCACATATGGTGGCAGTGTCCGTTACTGCAAAACTACTGGTCACAAGTCATAGACCTAATAAAGAGATGTACAGATCTACCTATCCCCCCCTTGCCGGAAGTACTCCTGCTATTACTACTTCCCCCAACACAGCACATGCACACTAAATACCTACTATACCACATATGTATAGCAGCCCTCACTATCATCAGCAGAAACTGGAAACAAACTGCGGCACCAACACTCACCCAATGCATCACAGCAATAGAAGCGTCCAAAATCTATGAATCAATGGCAAGGAAAACAAGCCGGGCCACACCATACTGGACAGAAGCATGGAATCTTTGGGACCGAAACAAACCACACTGAACCAACAAAGACAAAGACCCTCCACATAGATGATTACCCTCCACGACTGGAGGCAACCAATCAACTCGCAAGATGGCTCATGTACACAATGCATACACACTGCACCTACACTGCACCAACACCATACTCACACAATACCCCCGCACACCACACTCCAATTACACTTAGGTAACTCAGGCACACAGCACGACAACACCCCTCCGCAATCTCCTCCCCCTCCCCCTAATCCCCCACAGGTCTAACATCAACACTGTTAGTGTCAATCTGCAATGAGAACCAAGATATTCTAACCACAGGTGGCACCCGGACGAGCCCACAGCAAGTAATGGTGTTGACCTGCGCAGTAACTCAATAGAACTGACAACCTATGTATAAGTTTATGCATAATCCCCCTTGTGTCTCCCTCTTGCCTTCTGTATCCCTCCTTTACCCGCAATCAAAATAAAAATTGTCAAATTCAAAAAAACAACATTTTATCAGTTTGCTGTTCTGGAGCATTCAGGTGTGTTAACACAATGCCAAGGAAAGACATCAGTAATGATCTTAGAGAAGCAATTGTTGCTGCCCATCAAACTGGGAAGGGTTATAAGGCTATTTCCAAAGAATTTAAAGTCCATCATTCTACCGTGAGAAAGATTATTCAAAGGTGGAAAACATTCAAAACAACTGTCAATCTTTTCAGGAATGGACGTTCCAGCAAAATCACCCCAAGGTCAGACCGTGCAATGTTCAGACAAATTGCAACACAAAAAA